TTTTTTTGATATTTAATTAATCAGAAAATTAATTCAAGTATTATTAATTCAAATATTTCGCAGTTTCAGGGAGCAAACCGATCCAGAACGAATATCTCTGGAGGGAAAGGCGCCAATGATGGGAATATATTGCGGCTTGTACGTCCCTGGAAGTGTAAAAATCGGCGACGAGGTGTTTGTTCACCGATCCAGTGGCTCGCCAGTGGAATCGAACCGCAATCGAGAAGAAGAAGAAGAAGAAGCAAAGCCAAGATAGACACGAGAAATATAAAAATAAAAACTTAAAAATCGCTTTCTAAAATGGCCTTCCTCTTTGAAACTAGGGACTCGAATCGCTCTTAAAAATGTCAATATACGAACAGGTATAGAAATATAGTATTTTCAAAGCGCCAGTTCAATCGAGAGCGATTCCTGGAAGATTCAAGAGACTCCAAGACAATATAAATGCGCGATTTCTACCATTGATTATTGTTAATTATCGTTTACTGTATAATTCTGGGTGTTCTATAATTGGGACTGGTTTAGATCGATGTTCATGGCCTCGTGTATTTTAGAACGTCTTGGAAATACATTCAAAGAAAATTGTTCCACGTGAAATAAAGTTTTCGATTGTTATAGAAAATCTGCGTACATCCCTAAGAAGAATGGGGAAAAAAGGAATCTTTCTCTCAAGGAATTATCTTGAGGGAAGATCGCGTGTTATAAAATTTATCGATACAAGATTTTGAATTATTCTTCTGTATTTGCGAGAATAAGAAAATGTTTAAAAAAAATTGATAATTTAAAAAGCTAAAAACGAGTTGTTAAATCAAGTTCTTTTTGCAATTGTTTACGATTATTTCATGCAATTACTTTAAGAAAAAAATTGTATGCTATTCTTCTGTTTCTGAAAATGGCAAAGTACTAAGAAAAAGAGTTGATTCAGAAAGATACAAGACGCGACTACTTTTCAAAAACTGATCAAACCAACCAATCTCTTAATTTGCACACATATTCACTTTATCACTCTCACTTGTTATTTAAGTAAAACAACCTCGAGTCTACCGTAACAATTCAAAGATTTATTGACACTGAATAAAATTGGTCAAAATGATCAATGACGTTTGTGATGTTTATTAAATATTTTATGCGAAACAGTGCATATTTTTAGAGATTCAAATGTAACAAATAATAAAAACTCTCGTACTCCGTTGTACTATAAATATTTTCTATTTTTTTTTTCTTTTTTCTTTTAATGCTTGCCAATAGAAATTTCGCGGTTTGATCGTCGTTATAGTTTCACTGTTGGAAAATTGATCTCCTCACTGACGAATAAGACGAACGAAGATCCCGAGATGAATGACGCGAGCGTCATTCCACTACGTAGACTACTTGCAATGACACAGTGGTCAGAGGCCTCGTTAGATAAAAAGAAATGGCAAAGGAGTAGGGAGAGACTAGTAATGCGTTAAAACGACTTCCATCTCTTTCAGTCCATTCGTTTCATCCCATCATCGTCGGTGGTTCCACTCTTCGAGACGCGATACGTTTACGCATTACGTATAGTGATGTCGGTCCATTCATTACTGGCGTTCGTCGTTCTTTTCTCCGGATCTCTGACAGTTTTCTGTCAGAGTCCAAAGCCGGATGGTAAGTAGAATTTTTGGAAACTTGTCTACGCGCACGATTCCCTTTTTTCATCCTCTTCTTTGGTTCAATTTTCTTTTAATTTTTTTTTTTTTTTTTTTTTTTT